ATGCACACACACACGTACACGCAGATACACACATGCACACACACACGCACAGAGAGAGAGAGAGAGAGAAAGAGAGAGAGAGAGAGAGCGCCCATCCATCCTGTACCTCTCACTATCTAGGTAATTCACCCATCGTCTCCCTGCCCTCAGCCTTTTCAACTGTGGAATGCGAGAGCTACCAGCATCCACATCACAGTAAAGAGGACCTAAGGAGAAAACGCGTATAAAACCCACAGACACAAAGTTAGGTTCTGCTCCTGCTACGATTATCACCACAGTTTTTACCATGGCTAGCTTTTGAAATAGTTTATAAAACTGGAAGTTATATTTCGCACACATGAGGAAATGTGTTCCCTTGCATTCATCAAATAAAGGAATACACTACTTCATTTCATCTTGGAGCAATAAACAAATAATAGAAATTAACAGGCACCTCCAATTTCAGTTTGACGTCTTCTTTCGTCTTAGAGATGTAGTCTAAGTTAGAGATGGCTGACTCCACCCCGCTGCAGTACTGTCCATAAATAACCAATCTGAAAGGGAAAGGGGAAACCCATGAGACTGGAAGAAAGAAGCAGAGGCAGAACGAGGGAATGTTCAGTCTCTAACGCTATAGTCAGGGCTGCCATTACACACATGTGCATGTCTGCTTGTGTGTGGACCACATTATGCAGGTCCAAAGAGGCCATAAAAGGGTGCTGGGATCCCAGAAACTGATGTGATATGGAGTGCTGGAACTGAACCTAGGTCCTCTGTAAAGTTCTCAAGTGTTGTCCACCCCTGAACATTCCCTCCAGGTCCAACACTGTTTCTAACACACACTACATGCTGAGTGAGGGCCACTCATATTGACAGCAGCAAAAAGGCAATCTTTTGATTCCAAATTAGAATAAGATTGATTCCATGTATGTTTTATGGAAGACAGATTTTATAATATGGCTTAATGACTGTTAATGTTATTTGAATATATATATATATATATAAATTTTTTAAATTAAAAAGTTTTTATTGGAGATAAACTTTCTACTGTTTATTCATCCTCAAGACAGTTGTATTTTCTACCACAATTTTATTACAATCACCAGGACTTCACTCATTAATAAGCCGCTTACTCCTTACTACATATAATTAAGGAACATACATCATCTGAGAAGTGGGAAGAGAGGCACCACGAATGAAAAATAACTCCCACTGCGTGGAGACTGAGCACGCTTACCAAGGACAGCTCTACAATATCGACATTTTGCAAAGAGGCTATTAGCTTTGTTGTTCTTATCTTTCCACTAGCTAAAAGTATTAATAAACTCTTAATATTTATCTAAAAGTTGACACAAAGCAATTCATTCGCCACTTCTTAGTATTAGGAATTTTATTGCTTGATTTAAAATGAGAGAGCAGCATATCTGGTGCCAAAAAAAAAAGATATTCTATTTTAAGGGAAAAATAGATTGATTTCTCCACCAGTGTCTATCTGCCCCCACCTCTTTTGGGTGTGTGTACCTATGTATGTTTTGTATGTATCTGTGTTTGTGTGTATGTATGTATGTATGTATTTGTATGTGCGCGTGTATATGTGCATTTGTGTGTATGTGTGTTTGTGACTATATGTGTGTGTTTATGTGTATGGATGTACTTGTATGTGTGCATGTATACGTGCATTTGTGTGTATGTGTGTCTTTCTGTGTGTTTGTGACTATATGGCTACATGTGTGTGTTTGTGTGTGTGTGTGTCTGTGTATGTTTATCCATGTGTGCATTTGCATGTGTTTGTGCATGTGTCTCATACTGGTCTGAGCTAAGTTGGCTGGCCAGTGGACTGCAAGGATCCACCTGTATCTGCTCCCCACCCCACACCCAGTGCTGAGAATACGAATTTTTATAAGGATTCTGGGGACTTATCACACTCACATGGTAAACATTTTACCAAGCTATCTCCCCAGACCAAGAAATTGTTCCCTTTGACTATAAATCTAATGCTCTGAAATCAAAAGTTGTCAAATATTGAAGTATCAGCTCTCTCTCTCTCTCTGATTCCTTCAGAGAGGAAAGGGAGAGTGAGCATCGGTGTGAGTTAGTAAATACCACATCACTCAGGAGGGATGAGCCCTAAGGAAGGATCATATAAAGGTCTAAATATGGCCAGGCAGTGATGGCATATGCTGTTAATCCCAGCACCCAGGAGGCAGAGGCAAGCGGGTCTCTGTGAGTTTGAGGCCAGTCTGGAGTACAAGAGCTAGTTCCCGGACAGCAAGGGCTGTTATACAGAGAAACCCTGAATCAAAAAACAAGGGAGGGGGGAGGAACTTGAACTTCCCACAGGGCAGGAAACCCTGACTGCTCTTAGGGATGGAGAGGGAGGAGGAGAAGGAGTGGGGGGAGTGGGAGGGTGGTGGGAGGAGGGGCGGAAATGGAAACTTTTATAATTTAATAAAATTACTTTCAAAAAAATGAACAAATAAATAAATAGTAAAAAAAACTATACTAGGCATGTTTTTACAACTTTTATTTTAGGTGTGTAAGTGTTTATCTGCATATGTGCATATGTGCATAAATATTTGGTGCCGAGAAGTAAAGAGGACATTAGATCCTCTAGAACTGGAGACAAAGACAGCTGTAAACTGACAAGTGGGTGTTGGGGGCTGAAATTTCACAAGAGCAACCAGCACTCTGAACTGCTGAGCATCTCTCCATCTTATTATTATTGCTGCTGTTGTCATTGTTAATTATTAACATATAAACCTCAAACTACTTCTCTAAGATGAACTACGCTATGTTCTACTTTCTATCTGGAACTATTTTAATAAAAAAAAAAAGAAATGCATACTTTCCATTTTAAATACTAACATTCCTTCTAATTGTGAACCAATGCCCGCACATGTTTAAATATAAAAACCTACCTTTCCTTGTAGTTAATAAAAACTTGATACAAGTTCTGGTCGTCTTTATTTACAATGGAATCGTGAATCTCTTGCATTAAGCTCCGATGAACTTTCACAAGGTCCTTAGAAAAGAAAACATTGTGAAAGAAAAGAAGGAGTCAGAAGCAAAAACCAGGCAAATGAAGAAAAAAAACATACCCCACATCCAGAGCTACCCAGCTACCACTGTGGCCAGACTTGCAGTTCAGAGAGCAGACAGGAGGTGGAGGGAAGGGAGAGAAATGGAGAGGAGGAAGCAGGAGAAGAGGGTGAAAGACGTGGGCATGAAAAATAGCAATTCCAGAGAGGACTTGAAAATACCAGTGTTCAGTGAAAACAGAAACTCTCCTACTTGCTATTAGAGGGCAATTTATCCTTTGCATAAAAAATAGGCATGGCTTTTTAATTTTATAATCACTACAAATTTTTAAATAAAACTAATCAAGTACTTACTGTTTTATTGACAGACTAAAGTAATGATTCCTGTCCCTGGGACACAGAGATGCAAATCTGTTTGGTCAATTAGTGGTGCCCTAGTGCTAAGCTAACAACAATCAGACTAAATTGCCCGAAACCAGAGAACTAATGACAAAAACATGAAACAAATAAATTGTGCTAACAGTTTGCTGTAGCAACTCAGAAGTCATAATTTCATTTGTATTCTGATAAGCAAGTCCTCCTCAGCAGCCAGGGAATGTATGCCATAGGGGGGAGAATGAGGACATTTGAATCAAGGTACCAATTCTCCATTATCTCTTCCTATATACCCTGGAGCACACAGAAACATAACAGCAAGCTCCCTCTTTGTAGGCTGAGAATTGAAGATGAATATGTCGTCTCGGGTATATTGCTGATTAAAATCCATAAGAGCAGAGACTATCAAATAAGATGTTGATACAATCAGAAACAGCTGATCTAACTGTCAATCTGCCAATGGAGGAAGGTAAATGACATCCCTGGGGGTACACCACGGAATAGTGAGACAGACAGACAGCAACATCATGATTACTTAATTGGGGGCACTGCTTCGTACCAATGAGACTTGGATAATGCATGAACCTTGCTTAATCATTCATGCTCAGCACATACTCTTAATTGACCTTGGATTAAAGATATGCTGTTAGCTTCTTTAAAAGAAAAGGATATGGAAATTTGGGAAGGAAAAAAATGACAGAAAACATAAGATAAAGAAAGGATCTGGAATCCACTAATAAGTGAAGATGTTCTAGGAAACACACAGATATACCTGCCGCAGCTTTACTTACAGGGATATTGATGAAGACCGAGTCAAATTCTGCTGACGTCAGGAATCTTTTCAATGGTGCCATAAAATACTACCAAAAGAAAAGAGGAAAGTAACTTTAATTAAGCATAACTTTGCCTAATCTCTACAATGATTTTTTTTATCAACCAGAAAAATTTATTAACAGTCAAATATTTATTAGCATTATGAACACAAATACTAGAAATACTCTCTATATATTAAAAATTCTGCATTGGACAGCTATAAAGATTTCATGGGGATTGGAGAGATGGTTAAAGTTCTTGCCACACAAGCATGAGTGTCTGAGTTCAGATCCCCAGAACTTATGAAGAAGCTGGGCAGTTGTGACAGCCTCCTATGATTCCAGAAGTTAGAAGGCAGAGTCAAAGATTCTTGGGGCAAGCAGACAGCTAGACTTCTGGCAATCTTAGGCTTCAGCAAGAGACCCTGCCTCAACAAAGAAAAGTGGAGAACAATAGAGGAAGACACCTGATGTCAACTTCCGGCACGCACTCATAAATAAACACATGTGTACACACATGAATACACAAACATGCATTCGTGCATACCATCCACATATATACATGCAAACAGAGGCATAAATATAAGCTGAGACTCTTAAATATAAGACAAAATGCTCCTAAAAGCTAGAAGCTGTTGGCCAAGCAGGAACACAATGGCAACAGTCGGGAGACAGGTTTGAGGATGCGTGTAGAGCATCCCTCCAATTCTCCAACACAGACCTTGAGAGGGACGATCTGCTGGTGTAGTTTGTACACCATGTCCATGCATCGCTGGAGACTTTGGCGTTCAGCCCGCACTTCTCTTCCACTGCCAGCCATCTCAGTGTCTGTCCAGACGGCCCTTCTAGGAGCTTGGCATGTCAGTTCCTTTATTTCTAATCATTGTGAACTCAACTCCCAAATCTCATGGTCACACCGCAAGACATTGTCATGATCAACATCTGTGCATGCCTCGCAGGCTAACTTCAAGCAGCCATCTCTCTGAACCCCACGCCCAGCCCATGAAGCTCACTTTGTTCAAGGAAGTCTCCAGCCCTGCTGTGCCCAGTGTACTGACTTTCACATCCTTCACTGTCTCGCTCCACTCTCTACCCAGTTTACAGCCCACAAGCCACCATCAGGATGATGTTCTCGCCTTCCAATAAATTTTTCTTGATAAACAAAACCTTTGGCTATATCTACATCACCATATGTTTTATAAATCCATATACTATACTGATAGCTTAATTTTAAATAAAACCATAAAGAGCAATGGGCTCAGTAATGCCACATGTTCACACTGTTGCTAACCAATCGACTCTCCTAAGCCAACTCTTCTACACCTTCTCTTTTCCGGTAGAAAAAAAAAAAAGTTTTCACCTGGTTCTCATTTTGCTAACCTCTAAGTATGAGAGTCACTGGGAGTGGCCTCAAGCCTACTGGACAGACCTTTTCTGAAGTGACCTTGCTTAGTACTGTAGCCTAAGGGCCCTATCCATATACAGATTAGATTTTCCTATCAGAAAAAGACTTACATATTTAATATCTGCCTCAATATGGTGTTCTAAGGCAGAACACCAGGTTAATATGTCCAACAGATTCACGATTCCCTGCCCTCCATCTTTTTAGCTGGCATCAGCATCCACGCATTTTCTAGCATCGATCTTTGGTTCTCCCTTCTTCCACAATCCTTTGCCTACCCCAGCAAAGTCTGTTGAGTTCCAATGAGACAAATTATTTCCAAAGTCTAACATCCCTCTAATCTCCCTCAGTGCTATGATTTCTTGTCGTTTTGGTTACTATAATATCCTCCTGGTTTCCTTCTGCTTCCCATCCTTGCTTCACAAGGGCCAGATGCTCTGTTAAAGGCCTAAATGCCGTTACATCAAGTCTGCTCAAACGTTCTAGTCTTTGTCCCTACATAACATGGCAGCCCATCTCCGGCCTCTTTCTCAAGCTCCTCCACCCATTCTATCTGCCACATTGGACCACGGCCATTCCATGAATGAAGCCTAAGCTGAGTACTTTCCCATCAGAATTTCCTAGAGCACCCCTGCGCCCTTCAATTGGAGAAACTTTCTCCCAGAACATTCTTCACTAGAATATATACATGGCTTGTGCCCTCAACCTCCTCAGTTGATGAACTAAGCACCACGTTCTTACACAGAGGTCATTGCTATCCATCCTCTCTGACTGATTTTTCTTCAGGTAATTTCCCCACCCACCTGGCATCCAGCCTAAACTCTCTCACGATACAGAAACTACTAGAAAAACCCACAGTCTTCCTGCCTTTGCTACTATGTTCTCAGTCCCTAAAACAGTGCCATTGAGATGTCAAGAGAGCAATAAATAGTTATAGAATGTATAAATCTGCTTTGATGTCTTTATTTTGTCTTTGGGAGGGTTTTATTGAGACATAATTCATGTTTCTCACAACTATGTAGCTTGAAATCCAATGTTTCTTGGAAGTTCAGAGTTATGCAGCTATCACAATCAAATTTAAAACGGTTTACCACATAAAACATCCCACAGACACCAGTGGCCATGCTCCACTTCTCCTTCTCAGCCTGCATACCCTCCCCACTCCACATACACACTACTCTTCCCTAAAGTTCCAAGCTGTTGCTTTTTTGTATGTAATCTGTCTATACATTTGTCTATTCTGGGTATAGATCTTTAAATACTCTTTCTTTCTGATATAAGACTATACCTTTTAACTACCATTCCTATCCCTACTACCCAAAGTTGTACTAGTCCCTAATTCTACTTGCCACCTGAAGGACTTCAATGTTTTTAGATTATACCTATAAGTGAGCGCATGTGGTATTTGCTTTCCTGAGCCTAGCACTCAGAGTAAACCTTAGAATATACATTAACATACACACACTGCAAAAGGAGTGGGTCCAGCACCTAGATCATGCACAGCAACCTTGGGCTTAGATACTTGATAACTTACTTTTTCTATTGACTCCAAAGTTTCTGTATATTTTTCTTCCGTCTGCTTAATTTCTGCTAGGCAGCAACTTCGTATATCATTTTCTTGTGATTTCTGCAGATAGAAAGGTAAAATTAAGACTCTTAAGCTGAATTCTCATGTCAGGTTATCTAGGAAAAGATCAAAATCATTTTCCATTCTAACCAAACATCGCCAAAAGGCATGCTTAGCTGCATTTGTGACACATTTTGTTTGAGCTATATTTTCAACACTGTGAATGAAAACGTTTTAAGTGACCAAAATAAGCTTTTGAAATCGATATTCTGCTTAAATAAAAGCATCTTTTTATTCAGATGTTAGTGAATCTGGAAACAGAGTCTAAGCACTTCCTTCATAGACACTGGATTACACACGTACTGCAGAAATGACTACGAAATAGTAAAAGTATTTTTAAGATATTCAAAAGGAATGTGAGAGTTGGGGATGTAGCTCATTAGTAGGGTAACGGTCTAGCATATATCAGGCCAGGGTGCAACACACACACACACACACACACACACACACACACACGTGAGAGGGGGGGACAAGACAGAGGGAGGGAGAGAGAAGTAAAATCCTTCAAACATTGCTTTTATACATTATCATAATATATGACTCTTTCATTTAGTGTTAAAGTTCAGCATAACACCAAGGTCACAGAGTCACGGACAAAAATGGAATTCAGTTCAGATACTGATTTTTGTTAGCTTTATAACTTGAAACAAGTTACTGAGTTTCTCTGTGACTTGATTTTTGCTTTCTATAAAGCAGATGGACAGTACTAAACCCAAAGAGTGCCAAGTGACAGAAGTCATGGGAAGCACGTGTCGCCTTGCCAGGGAGTCTAAACTACTACTGTTGTTAATTATAGCCCATGGCAACCACCCAGAGCTGGGTAGTAGGGGAAGGCTGTACTGAGGGTGGAGGAGACCCTGAGGATCTGCTGGCCCTGAAGCAGCTGATGCTCACAGGCACTTCAGAAGAGATGCACCTGAAACCCCTCTGGGAAATGCTGCCAGGCCAGCCCACCTCTCACAGACCAACTTAAACACATAGTGATTATATTTCTGAAATATAGGCTGAGTGACTTATTTCTGCCCTATGTCTGTATCTCCTCCCCAGTGTGGAGCCCCACAGCCTCCCCCAGCCCTTTATTAAAAGCCAGTTCACAGAAAGCGGAGACAAATCATGAAACCCCCCGAAGAAGCTAAGTTGACCACCCAGACGATGAAGAAGTCTTTAGTATAAGAGAATATGCTAATAAATGCCGAAGTGTCTGACTTCTTTAAAAATTTTCAAATTATAAATGAGAAGACAGTTCAAAGCAGTTCTTTCTGGATGTTCTAGGTAGGCATGGCATGGGAGCTATGAGTGCATACCAGTTTATGCTAGTATCTGAAGAAGTTTAATAAAAACAAAAACAAACAATAACAAAAACTTAGTGCCTTGTCGAGCCTTGATCTGAGTGAGGGTTTGGGCCTAGTCTTGTTGCAGCTTGTTCGGTTGACACCCCTAGGAGGCTTGCTCTTTTCTGGTGGGAAACATAGGGGAAGGGAGTGGGGGAAGGGCTGGGAGGAGGGGAGGGAAGCTGTCGTTGGGTTGCAATGTATTAGAAAAGAATTTAAAAAAAAAAGACAAAAAAACAAGGGGAGGGTCATTTGTGACAAGAGCTAGTGAGTGAGACGAAACCATCGCTGACATAACTTATGCTAAATTTAAAATGAGAAGACTAGATCTGTTTTGGAAAAGATGTACTTTCACAATTACTATCTCACAAGTCACCGAAATGAGAGCTTCCCGCCACTCTGCCACTCTGCAGCCAACCGGCACGGCAATAGCCCCTAATGCTCAGTGTTCTCAGGAAAAGGTTAGACCATAAAGTCCTACAGTCATTTTGACCTTAAAAAAAAAAAAAAGAGCAGCTCCTGTCTCCAAATAAGTTATTACCTGAGTTCTAAACACAAAGAGTTTTTGTTAACTATTTCAACAGAAGTTAAGTAAGGACATTAACTGATTTCCTAACTAATTGCCTTCCTAAAAAACTACTTAAGAGTTACTTTAAAAATAAGCAAAAGCCCTACAGGTTGCTGAGCTTCCTCCGCCTTCATCAAGTCCTCGTAGACCTCGCCGCCTTCATCCTCGCCGTACACACAGTCATAGAGATCTTCTTCGTCCTCCACGCGGGTCTCACTGCAACAAGGAGTGTAGTTAGGACGGCTGTATTCTAGGACACAGTGGATAGAACACTGAGACGTTCCCAAAAGGTTCTAGCTCAAAACAGACTGAAATTTTCCCAATGAGTTTCACAGAAAATTCCGAGAAGAGGGAAAACGGAATTAGTGGAGAGAGTCAAGAGGCTCCCAATGAAACTATGTCCATCCTAATAATCTCAATGACAGACAGAAGAATCCAGCAATTGGGACGGTGGTAATTCATACCTCGCTGGCTTTTACTTTCAAAGAACCATATTAATGATCATCTTGCAGCTAGTCACAGCACTAAGTCTGTGGGCTCTAGGTATCACACGGCTGTGGCTTAGTATTTGATCGACGAAAAATGATGAATTTTGAGAGATCTGAAAGTTACCAGACTTGCCAATGGTAACCCATCTAGTCTACAGCAGAGTCATAGTCTCAAAATCAGCTTGTTTTACACGCAGTATTTTAATGGTCTCATCGCATTGCCTCTGCATCCCAGTATTCCATGGCCTCAGCTTCATTATGTTATTAAAGGACACAGTGTGGGAAGGTGAGGAGAGCTAAAGAAGAGTTGACACAGTGACAATCTGTTTGATAACAGCATCGGTTGCTGTAACGTTATTATTACCTAATCCAGTGCTTTTCAAACCATGCTTCGAGAAGCTCACTTTGAAGACACATGGACATCTCTCTACAATCAAATTAATTGCCTTTATCTGTGCTAACTGCTTGCATTTTATTTTTAAATAAAAGATCTTTAAAATACCTAAAATCTATTTTACAGTCATTAAATGCCACATGTCGGTTTCTTGGGAATATTTGTACTTTCCAGTCCCCCGTGAGCACTTGGACACTAGCAGTGGCTGCCCAGGGCACTGTTCCCAAACCCCTCCTGAGAGACGACGAGAATGGTCGGTCATGACATTTCCTCCATTTTAGGACTGCTACCCTCTTCACTTTCTCCTCCTGGTTTAAAACTTGTAGAAATGCCTTCTACTAACATAACCCCACAGAATGGCCTTGACCGATACAGAGGTGTTGGAATGAGTTAATCCCTCTGAGAACGAAGTTCAGCCCTTTCACATGACCAGCCCTGAGCCCCCTCTTCAGGCTGCACAGGCTGACGGTTATAAATTGACACGAACAAAACCGAGGACACCGTGGCTGTGTCAGTCCGCAGCTTGGAACATTTTTCAGAGCTGGTACAATCACAGGCTGTTTATGTTTGTCATGAAAGATTATTTGGAGGCATTTGACAGAAGTGAACTGTCAAAACCCAGAGGGAAGGGAGGTCTATTAAAGGAGGGAGCTGAAGCCTGAGAGAACGGTGCTCTGAGAAAAATTCACTTCAGAAATACTTGTCCACCCACCTACCCATCTGCTCATCCATCCAGCAGATATTTTTTGACAAACTGACTGAACTCCACGCTCTAAAGACTTGAGACACATAGATATCAAAAGCTCTCCCATTAAGGATCTGGATCAGTGTGTAAAAGTGTTTGTCATGTAAGTGTGACGACCCGAGTTTGAACGCCCAGAACTCACAGTAAGCTGAGCACCTCTTTAATCCCAGGGCTCTATAGTAAGATGGGAGACAGAGACGAGAAAATCCCTGGAAGTGTGTGGGCCAGCTAGCCAGCCAGCTGCACATAGTCCCAAATAATATAGGAGGCAAGGATGCCATCTGACCTCCAAACACACGCATGGGCACCCATGTACCACCCAGCCACACATGAATGCACATACGTGTCATACATAACACACAAGCACACACAAACTGACTTGTAAGAAGAACAGCCATAAGCATATAATCCTATATATGCAACAAGAGAAATTAACAGAAACTAAAGAAGCAGAGAAGAGGAAAAGCACTAAAGAAAGTCAGGCAAGGCTTCAAAGAGGTCATATGACTCAGCTAGATTATGAATATGTCAGTTTATTCAATAGTTATCTGCTGTAAAAATACTGTTTTCTGGGAGGGTATAGCTGCTGTCACAATGCCTATCCTAATGGAACTTCAATGACAATAAAGGTGGCACACATCTACATCAAATGAAGAGAGAGCCTGTGCTCTCAAAAAGGGCACTAACACGAAGGATGAAGTCCAGAGAGCCTGGAGATGCTGAGCTTGGCAATCCCTCAGGGCAGTGTGCTGGACCACTGGAGGAAAGAGCTGAGACAAAACCATAAGGAGCCATGCACTCGGTGAGCTCAACCTTAACTGGGATAACTAGGAAACAGCAGAGGATTTACAGAGGAAGGGAGGTGGGAGGAAAAACCAGGCAGGGGGGACCAGAAGCTAAGAGGCAAAACGCTATGAGGCTGAGAGCTGCAACTCGGGCAAAGGCTGATGAGGAAGGAGTCAGGGAAACTTGGGACTGTGACATCAGATACAGATTAGGGGGCTTAGGAAGAGAAGATCAGGGGGATCATGGGGGGAAGAGAAAGGATAAAAGATGCATTTCAATTTCGACTTGAACTCCAAGGAGTCAAGTCATACTGGCAGCTCTGTGATTTCCATGGCAGGGTATCTGATGGAGTCTGGTTTAGGACACAGCAGGATAATTGTGCTAGTCTGAGCACTTCGCTTCACTCTATCTTGACGGTGGGTGAGATGGGGTCTCTCTATTCAGCTCCAGCCATCTGGAGTCCGGGTATTTTGTGTAACCCATAAAATGGCAGGGGAGCCTCCTGAGGTCATGATGGATCTAACTGAGACAATCAACTGTGGAGGGGGCTCGGACTGATGGGAGGGGTCTTGCCAGAAACAAAATGACTGCGGAATCCATTCCCTGATGTTGTGACTTGGAAGCCTCCTCCTACCTGACACCTAACATTCCCTCCAAACTAAATCTTCCCTAACAACACTGCTAAGCATAGCAAGGTGGGCAAAGGCTATACAAAACAAAGTGATAGGTATCAGTGGCCTCCACTGGGGTACAGCCCAGGTGGGGCTTTGAGAAGAGCATCATCACTGCATTGGACATAAAGTGTTCTTCCGAAGAATCCGATTACAAGACCAGTAACCTTACAGTCACTTCATAAAACACTGATGCCAATTAGTCAGATAATCAGCATCTATCTTACTTAATGGCAGTGAGTTCTTGGAAGTTTAGAATCAGTAAGAAACTATTCTCAACGGACATTAAAAATATATGACTTCAAGGCCACTCCAAATGTCGCTTAGTCTAGAAAGAATTACTCGCTGCCCATTGTTATGGCTGTCAGTAGTACTCTCCTCGCCTGCTCTTCTAGTGAGCGCTCCCACAGCACCGAGTCACCACCCATGTCATCCAGGACAGTGATTAAGAACTTCTAGCTCTATGCTGGGCGGTGGTAGCACATGCCTCTAATGCCAGCACTCGGGAGGCAGAAGCAGGTGGATCTCTGTGAGTTTGAGGTCAGCCTGGTCTACAAGAGCTGGTTCCAGGACAGGTTCCAAAGCTACAGAGAAACTATGTCTCTTGAAATAATAACAAAATAATAATAATAATAATAATAGAAATAATAATAGTAATAATAAAACCCTCAAGCTCCATGGTGTGAAACATCTGGGTTCAAAGACAACTATGTGTGATGTCATCTTAAAGAAGTTAGCTTGATATGCAAATTTGATTTTTTTTCATTAACTTATAACAGTGGGAACTTAACACAGTCATTACACAGATGATGCATAGAACATGTTAGTGCACAACTGAGCACACAACACACTCTTACAGTCGCATAACTAGACAGCAGAAAGCTGATGCATACTGCCTGGCAACCAGTAGGTGTTCAGCGCTCCTTTGGCCTAGCCATGTGCATACACCAAACATAGCTCAATCTCTTTTTCCTTCATTTTCCATGGATATGTGGATATGATATAGCTGCATGGGCATGTTTGCATGTGTGAGGGTGTAGGTGTGTGTGCAAATGTGTGCAGCTGAATATATGCAAGTATATGTGTAGAGGCCTGAAGTTGACAGCTGGAACCTTCCTTGATTGTTCTTCCACCTTATTCACTGAGGCAGGGCCTCTCAATCAAATCCAGAACTCACCCATATGGTGAATCTCATGAGCCAGCTCGCTCGAGAGGAACCCCACTGCCACTGCTTCCTGAGGCTAGAATTATAGGCATGCTGTAGTGTCTAACCACTATTTAAAAGAGGATTCTAGGACTCTAAACTCAGATCATTTTGTTTTACAGCTGCTTTAACCATTGAGCCATCTCTCCAGTCCATCACAGTTTAAAGTTCTAAGAACAAAAACGTCCATAATGTTCCTGTTGTCACTGCCTGGGGGTGAAGACACAGACAGTCAATGGCGCAAACCAACATGGTCGTAGCCAGAAACACTAAAATCACAGAGTAAGGAAAGGGTGTGGTGGCTATTTTTGCTGGGTCAGTGGGGAGGTCTCCCTGCGAAGGGACGCCTGAGAAAGACAAACGGAGAGGAGCCAGTAACGCGAGCACATAAGACAGTCGGCACAACGGCAGGTTCCGTGTTGGGCAGATGAAAGAATGGATTCCCACAGATTCCAGGAATTGCCCTTGGAGCATAATCCATCTCTTAGAATTCTCTGCAAGCATGCCGGAGCTACATCATAAGGTCTTTGAGGAGAGAGGATCATGCTTTATATTTATTCTTAATCTGCACAAGTCACTCAATCAGCAGAAGATAATCAGCCGCAAGGCTTTCTGCCTCACCCGACTGTGAAGCAGCAAAGCCCACAGGATCCTCTGCTAGGCAGAAGCACCATCTACTGATACATCCCTGAATAACTCCAGCCAGGATCCGTCCTCCCTTGGGCTGGGAACAAAGCCCACACATTCGGCCCTACAACCCAGCAGTAAACTTTATTTCTTTTTTATTATTACCTAATTGTGTGATTCTAGCTTCATCTTCCTCTCTATTATGCCTTTTTTAGAAACGAACTGGTTTTGCTTCTCTGCGGTAAGTTTCTCTTCATATGAACACAGGACAAGAACTAAAAGTCGGTGGTAGCACATTCCCTGAGAAACCCCCCATCGTCATTTCAAAGATAAACTTTATGATGTCTTATCACATCACATTCACCCTGCAGAGAACTTTCTCATCTATACTAAGTGCAAATTTGAGCAGCGGCTTAATTTTAGGGAAAATCTTCAACATACTCTATTAAGTCAGGAAGGACTTTGTAGATGTCTTCATCGTTTATGCTCTCTTCCGTAGGAAAGGGCCTAGGGAGAAAAAAACACGGGAGGGTGAGCAATCAGGATGAGCATTTACCGCCAATTAAACAGTAAAACCTGCTGCCGCTCAAACGAGCCATCACGTTTAATGATTTCCAGGGCTTCTCCAGAAGCGCTTGCCCAGCAGCTGCGCCTGGGCTTCCCCTGGGCAAACGGCAACACCTGCTACCCTAAATCATCGCCAGCATTAGAGCGAGTCCCTGCAGACACAGGTGTAGCTGGGGACAGGCTAATGCGATTACCGGATCTCCCACCTGCCACGTACCTGCAGGGTCACCTCCACGACACCCACCACAGTGCCCAGTTCAGGAGACAAGCAGCCTTGTCTGTGCCCCGTGCCCTTGCCTTCAGCACCCTCACAGCAGCTGGAAGATCTGACCCAGCCAAGACTCTGCCAGCCAATGATCTTCCACAGCTCAGCTCACTAGTAAGGATGACGATCGTGAGAAGATGAAGACATCATACATATGACTTTTGACCCGGGCAGACTCTTCTGTTTGGACATTAGGGGATTTACGTTGTATTTTTTATTTTTATTTTTGGAGAAATTAACTAGGTAGATTTCAAAGGGACAAGTCGCTTTCATCTTCTGTTAAAAATATCCCACTTCAATTTTCCCCCACTCCTATCATTTGGCCTCTTTGTTTGGCTCATAACATTTCTTCTTATGACCAAAATAATGCCTTAAAAGTATGCCTAACAGAATCACCATAGCAATTATATTTCAGTGACAAATGGTCTACTCTTTGGTAGTAAGCATGTCTCATGTTTATAACAAGGAGCCATCAAAATAATAAATTTTGAACAATGACTAAAGAGTTTCATTGAAAGTCAGACTTCTTAATTGTATTTTTATTATTTAAAATAATTTTGGCTTTAGATATATTATGAATTAATTTAATACTTAAGATAGCAAAGGGACCTACATTTTTTTCAAATAAATGAACCCATGAGTTGTTCTTTTTTAATATAGGCACATTTTATCAGGTTTTCATGCCTACACTGGTTCCCTACAGAGAATTATAGTCCTCTGCTATAAATATAGACAAGAACATTTCAAAAGGAAAATAGCTCCAACAGGTGTCCTTTCAGAATCAAAAGTACATACCAAGCAGGCTATTCAAAATCTACACACATAATGACACAAAATATATACTGACATGGGCGGCTACTCAGTATTGAAGAGCAAATTAGAAGGAATCAGAGAATCAACCAGCTGACCATTTATTTCTACAGAAAACTGATAGAATCATGGCCCATTCCTGAGAAGGGGTCTCCAGGATGTCCTTCCGGAGGCCACTGTGTTGGCATCCAGGAACTGAGCTGCTGAGCCAGTGCTGAACACTCCTGTGAGACCCACTAGGATCCCCTCCCACAGAATATGATGGAACCTGGGCACACGCACGCATGCGCGCGCACGCGCGCGCGCACACACACACACACACACACACAGACACACACACACAAATGAAACCAAAACCAAACACATAGATAGAGGCTTACAAAGCCGTATCATGGAGGCAGACTAGAACATAAAGCCTTGAAGACATAAGGTACAAAATGAAACCTATTTCCATTCAGCCTGGCTATGTCTTCTTCACTTCCTGGTTCGTTTATTCTTTACTGACAGCTTGCGCTGAAGTAGTGTGGAGTCTCTAGAAGTCAAGAGGCTTGAACAACTCACACACCTCTGCTTCCAAGCTTACCAACTGAATTCTACTCCACTGCTTGGAGATGATATAGACAAACTAGCAACTGCTGAACTTTTCACGCATTACCCAACCTTCAACGCACTTTCTTCTGCATCTGTCATTTAATGCTTGCGTGACTGTTCCTTACACCCATAAAAGTTGAGAGTTATGATTATGGTCTCCTCTACAGGAACCAAATACATTACACTTTTAAATATTTATATACTAAAGCATTTGCATTTGTCTTAATGAATTATACATATATAAATGTTGAAGAAATTCTTTAAAAGAGCCATAGCCAGTGGCAGTCACCAGGGAGCTAAGAACAATGTTCAGTCATTGGGCCTCATTCAATTCTCTGAATAAGTTCTTAATTGCTCGGTAAATCTCAAAGGTGTATGTGGCACTTAATATACCAAGCACAAAGACCTTTGCAAACAAAAGCCATTCAATAAATCAAGAAATAACCATTGCAATGAACTGCCTGGGAAACAGGAACCACAGAGGCATGGACTTACCTGATTCCTGTGGCCAACGCTATTGGCGTGCGGGATAACCGAGACAATGTTTCTATAACCTGCAGGGGAAAAGAGGGAAATGGTCACTGAACACATATTTATCAAGGCTTAACACTTTTCTCGAAAGCGACAGATTTCTCATTCAACATTAACAACGGTTAAAGAAAGACAAATTTATCGATTCATGAGGTGTGAACTGGAAAGAGTCACAACTGGGAAGCTTAAACGCCTGGGTTATATCTGTGTTCCTTTTAATTTTATGACTTAAATGAGTTTACTAAGATGCGAGTGACAGTCTTCTTCCAATAAAACAGGGAGTTAAACTCATTAACCCTGTGTATTTAATACCTAAAACTAAAAACCCTTAGAGATCGCCAAAATCAATGTTCCCCAGCATAGTACCCACTAGATATGTGAAGCTATGTAACTTAAAACTTAAAACTCATAAATTTCATTTCCTTTACTTCACTAGCCAAATTCTAAGCACTCAGTCATCACCATTTCTGTTGCGTTTTGGAACACACAGATATCAGGTATTTTCACACCACAGCAGGCATTGCTGGGCAGAAAAGGGAGATTGCCAGCTCTTGAACCTGACCACAGGACTTCAAATCCGAGTTTCCCATTCATTAGCCAGGTAAGCTTAAGCAACCACCGAAATTCACAAGTTATGGCTTTTTCCTCTAGATAAGGCCTCAGATAATAGCTAATGATCATTAGAGTATTGTAAGGATTAAGCAACACGATACCTGCAAAATGGTTAAAGGGGAGCAATTCTTTATAATCACCAACTTTGAAAAAATTGCTTTGTTCCAATTCTGAGGGTGTTCAAGAATTTTTTTGTTCTAAATTACTTTTGCTTATGCATTTCAAAAACTCCTTATAAAGATCTTCAAGCACCTAAGCCCAAGTGTGCTCGGCTAACAGTTTGGCCTCTGTACCTAGCAATTTTACTCCTTTATACCTAAAATCACCTTTGTCAGGAAACCAGTGCCCTACACTGCATTTTCCTCATTGATGCATTTTTGACGATAAATGTAATTGTTCACACCCTCAAAATTAAACAAGCAAAGGAGGCTCTGCTGTGCAATCCATTTTGAGTAGGAGGGGAAATAGGAGAAAAACGTGTCCATCTGGACTGAGAGAGTCTAGTGAGCACCTATGAATCCTCGGCTCCAAGACAGAAAGGTGAGCAACGTCTCCAGCCCTCAGAGAAAGCGTCTCAAGGGTACCAGACCCAGGGATGGGTTGACAAAACACTGGGCTCAGTTGTGAGCCTATTTGGAGCCCTGTTTTCTAGTTTTCATGTAAACTCGCCTTTATCAAACACGGATAAAAGCAGCTAATTAACTACTGCACAATATTGCTGGACAGAAATGAGAATGCTCCTCAAGTGATTGTCAAGTTTTATTACAGAAAGCAAAATTAACTACATAGGAAATTGTATATTGGTTATAAATAGCAATGTCCTATTGTCCAGGATTCTTGAAATTTGTGAAAAAGAGTTGATATGACATGTTAGCACCAAAAAAAATTGGAAGGAGAGAGAATGCATGTCAATCAATTCTATGTAAGCAAAGCATTCTCCCAGTGAATACGTAGCGCAAAACAGCATATTATACGTGACAGGGGTATAGTTTCGTTAACTTAAAAAACACTGTTTCAACATTTTTAACAAAAGAGACAGAGATGCTTTAGGACAGTTCCTAGGGACAAAATGAAGCAAGAGATCTTCATTCTTGTAAGAGGGTAAGAGGGAGCAATGCTACTGATCCCCAAATTCTACATCTGACCCTAACCTCTAGCTGAAACACTAGGGGGAAAAAAAAGGAAATCTGAAGACACCAAAACCACGTGTTCCTAAATGAGAAGTCTAGTCTGGAAAAAGCCTCTGTAATAATTTGAGAAGTAGCATTCAGACTCTTGGTTAACTAGTATTGTGTTTTAGACACACCCCATTGGACTGGGCCAGTACTAAAGAGTCCCAGAGAAGGCTCTGCGTCTTGCTGTGTTCTCGGCTGTGGTCTCAGTCCCTGATTAACAAGAAAAACAACACAGCAATAATACATTATTACTGCTACTTTAATGTGCATTTTAATGGCAGTTAATTTTGTTCTCTGAAGATATTTTGCACAATAGCTATAGATTTATGAAATAATTTACATTTTGACTTTTATCTGCCAGCACTAGAACAGCTACAATATTTTTCCATCCCTGTGCCTCCCTCCTCGCCGTAGAGGGGAAGCTGAAACTAAAAACCAAAACAAAATAAAAATGGACAGCTTGGTTTGGCATGTAAACATCCATCCGCCACCGGAGGGAGCCAGACGATAGTCTATTACCTCAGTCCTACTGATTACCTTTAAGCACACTGAAAATTTAGCTGAAGCAACTCCTATGAGTCAAAGAAGGAAGACTATTTATTACTATTCAATACTAGAAGATAACACAGATACAAATTCATGGGGCGTGGGAAGGAAAGACTGTGAGGTGACCTTAAAGTGAGTGGCCGTGGGACCCCTCATTTTCAGGTCTCTCCCATTACACATAGTCCCGGCACTCAGTTTAGCCAAAACAAATAAAGGCTGTTTAGTCAATGTGGTGCTTTTAGAACAACGTCTATTCTATAACGACAGTGTTTGCAGACTGAAAACAGGTACGTACACGAATCAATGCCAGACCCTCAAATCCCGTGTGGATCCTCCAACCTGCCCCTCTGAAGCAACTGAATGAAAAACCACTGAATGATACTAACAGGCCTATGTTCCATGAAATACGCTAACTTTAAATGGTGACTTCAAAATGATAAATTATGGACACCGACTCTCAGAAAGGAGGGTGAGATAGCAAGAATGTTCTAGCAATGAGCTATGCTGACTATACATCCTGAACTTGCTTTCTGTATTCACACCATCCAGCCCCACTGGTAGGAAAACGCAAGGTTGTAACTGGGATAACATCAATTAGACCTACCGGGTGAGGAAGGTAGGAGACGTGAGCAAGGCTTCTCACTCCCACTTTAAATTGGAGATTACATCCCAGAAGCGGTGGGATCATTGAGAAACTTTGGGAAAGGAGAAAATAGGGCTAATTGCACTGGGGAAACAGAATTCAGCAGAGTGAACGCAGGGGACAGGAAGTCATGGGGACATCCAGTAGACAGAATCAAACAGGGATGTTCTCAATAGTTTGAAAGTACTCTAAGATGGCCACAGTGAGACCGTAAGATGTGTGATGTCCTTAGGAGCCGTAGCTGACCACTGTGATGCCCTTAGGATCCGTGGCTGACCATTGTGATGTCCTTTAGGAGTTGTGGCTGATCACTGTGATGTCCTTAGGAGCCGTGACTGAACACTGATGTACTTGGGAGCTGTGGATGACCGCTGTGACGTCCTTAGGAGCCGTGGCTGACCACTGTCATGACCTTGGGAACGGTGGCTGAGCACTGTGACAGCTCAGGAGGGAAGAGGAGCCTGGGTGATACAGGACTGTCTCTCAAATGTGCCACCTGGAAAGCCCACTTCAGCGTCCCACAGCTTGGACCAGGTGCGGCCAGAGCTCTGCAAGGCTGCTGGCTCCTCCGGGCGCCTTCTCTCTCTGACCCGCTCCCACCCCACCCTGGGTCTCAGGTATCCTCTCACGGGTCACGGCTGTAACTCCGCCCCGGCACTTATCGCTCTATTTAAAGTTTTCAAAACCAGCTTTCAATGTTTGCGAAATAACTCAAGATACTTTTTAAAATTAAAATATTAATACTTGAAAGTTGTCTCCCTCCACCTCCCTGAGCTCAATCCGGATGGGACCACAGCTAAAAATCTGCTGTAATTCTGGAAGGTTTTTTTCTTTCTTCTTCTAATGAATGCGTTCCTGGCTCCTATCCCGGCATGACGGCTTACGTTTGTGTTCCTAACACTTTGGAAACTGAGGCAGGAGTATTATTACAACTTCAAGACCAACATGCGATGCCTAGTGAGTTCTAAGGGAGTAAGGATTATAGAACGTGGCCCTGCCTCAAAAACAGAAGGTTTTAATATGGATCTGTTTTTTTTAAAAAAAAAAAAAGTTCTTAGAGTTCTCTAAAACATTCAGAGTCATGCTTTGTCACTACCAATCAATCCCAGCCATGCCGTCAAGCACAGATGTCCTTTCTTCATTCTAATGCTGTGTGACACTCCAGCATATGTAAATAATCTAATGGTTTTGCCATTTTTCCCAGCAGTAAGTGCTTCTAACACTCGGCTGCGAATGAAGCCAGCAGCCACAGCCTTGCCACATCCAAGTGTATGCTCACATATATGCAGGCCCTGCTGGAGGAAGGACGGTGAAGAGGGTGCCTGCGCACGTGGGAAGGAAGGAGGAGCATTCTTTAAACCGCTCACAGGAACCTAAGACACTCTTGAAGGGCCCGCAAGAATGCAGCAAGAATTCCAATGCTAGTCGGCTCTCCAGCAATAGGAAACACCTTCAGGGCAGGAGACCCAAACCGCCTCTGCCCTGCTTGATTTTCGATGAGCCATTGGACATTACCATCCGCTGCCCGAGTAAGTGAACAACGTAATGTTTGCCTTGAAAAATTACTGAGAAGATCCAATATACATATCAGCAATATATAAATATATTATATAGATATATATTATATATATATATATACACATATATTTCCCTCTTAACTTATTCTCTGACCCAATAGCTTGGTGGGCAATCAGAGGCTTCAGACTTGAGCCATGAGTGTAAAAGCCAGCTTAGTGGTTCGGGAGAACCATACTGCCTGACGCCGCCGCCACAGCCCGAGTGAGCAGCTGTGGCTGGAGACCCAGGTGCAGCATCCAGGCTCCTGCAGGCTCAGAGCGAATGCCCTATGGAGCAGAGACAAACACGGAGTCTAAAAGAGGGACTTCAGGGTGTCCGTCTGGGAATCAGACAAAAGCAGGAGGAGAGGTCAGCTGTGATCCAAAGGCAACCGCGGGAACTAGTATATTACCCAGAAGCCCTTGACTCTAGATTCCTGACCATGAGGCCCAGTTCTAAACCCAGCCAGATGGTGAGTTGCAGATCAGCA